ACATCTCAAAATGCAATTTTATTTGGCTTATTTCGCTACTGTTGCAATGAAACCGTAAAACGAACAAATTTACAGCTTGAATATGACACTGTCGAAACATGTTCTTGCTTTAGAAGAATGCTTTTCAGCTACTTCAGATTTGGTATTTGGGAATTCTCGAGCCGCTTTTGTAACTTGGCGATATTCTTCACCAGACTGTGCGGATCATTTGTGTCCATCCACCGGCCAGGAGACGCTGGAGAAACTGGAAGTTCATCCCTCATCCTCGGACTGTCGGTCCAGAATGCTAACCATATTCTATATACTGTACCGACATTTCGCATACCCGGGTTCGTGTGCCAGTGGGTGAACCCAAATTTTCTGCGTTATCTAGACAAGAGCATCGCCAAGCGGCAAAAGTGGCTCGAGGATTCTGACCACCGAAGCGGGAAAGCCTGACAAAAAGTCTTTCCACAATTAAAAAAGGAAGTATACTCAGTTCGAAAACCTACCCAACCGTCGCATTGCGTGCACACGCCGCGCCGAGTAGGTTGCATCCAGGATCGACATTGATTCAATCTTAGTGCTCCTCCTTATTCAACGCTTCTCGTCTAACCGTTGGGCGACATGTAACACATGGAGCTGTTGAGACTGTTTGCAAACGCCATAAAGGAGGTGAACTGCGGCTAAAGTTAAATGATGGACGTCAAATGCTGCAACGACTTTGACAAGTATGGGAAGCATATAAGGTCATACATGATCTATGTACCATCAATGTACCTTGTAAAAGATTATGTGGTGATTCATGGCCACAATGCCTGTTACGGTCTTTTGCAAAGGTGAGTAAGAGCTTAGCAGACCCAAGTCAGCTGTGCACTGAAATTAGTTGCGCTGTAATGATTGCTTTCATCGCCCATTGACCCATGCAACTCACATGCAAAGGCTGACATCTAGTGAAATCATTTACGCTCTTTGTTTGTTGTGCCAGTTTCAAATAAGATAAACATATTTTTCTAAGGTAAATCGAACTGATGTCAAAGATGGTTGCGAGGCTATTGCTGATTTTGTTCCACTGTTCCGTAGAACACTTCACGGATTGAATAGATCTACGGATTGTAGATCAATCCGCGGGCCGGACTGGACGGGATCAGAAATTTGAGGCAAGGCATGGATTAGGACCGGAGCGAAGTTTTAAATTTGCCAGCTCACACGGATTGAACAGATTGACGGCCGGTCGAATGAAAATTATCGCTAACTTGTTCCTCAAATACTCAATGAAGACATAAACTCACACAAGGATCTTTCACCAATAAAACACAGCACTTTCAGTTGAAAACAACACCTAGACAGGCTGCGTAGTACATAAGTTAGCCATACATTCCACAAACGAATTTTCTGGTGAACAGATCGCATTGATAAACTGATATGAATGGGTTACACTCATATATGCTGCTATGGAAAACTAGAGCTCCTATTTCTTCCAAGGTAGCTATAATATCCAATAATCTAATAACCTTTTTCATAGCATAGTCACCATCCCTCCTGATCTCGTCAGAAATCCTATTTAACCCCAAATGATGACGCCGCGTTTCAGGGTTGAAAAATTGGGCACATGTTTAACAACAGCTTCAAGTCAAGGCTGATTAATCAACTGATCCATTTCCAGACGTCTGCCAGAGCTAGGATTGTTGCATCCTTGCAGTTGCTTACATACTTTCTCTCCTAACTCAATTAATGTATCTAAAGAATGAGGGTGTTGTCCTCTATATCCACGGATCACATGAATCTTTCTTACCCAGCAGTCAACAGCTTGGTGTGAGCTCAGTCAAGGCCGTCGATTCATACCCCAAGTGAAAGGTTGGTGAGATTAGAGTAGCTCGTGTGATCACCCGAGCCCTTGGCCAGTGGCTGGTATACCTATGAGATGTCAAAGCACCACCGGTCATGGCAGATGCCGAGCGGTGCCTGTGACCGTGAGGTGCTGAGAGGTGTGAAGAGCAAGTAGTAGTTTATAAGTATCTAATTCGCACTATGCGTTGTAAATGCGGTGTGATTCTATATTTGTATCTAAGACACTCACAGCGCGCAAACGCTGCAGACTTGTTGCAGACTGATGAAAACGTTGCGCCATCTAATAAAATATTTATAGCGCTTATCTTACAGTAATGAAACAAAACAGCAGATGCGAAGTGACGTACTACTGTCAACACACATGTGCACATTTGTTTGACTGCGCAAATGTGATCTGATACAGTTTTGCAGTGCACGATAACAAATGAAAGCAATTTTCGTATTTTTCCAGCAAAAGGAAAACAGAGATTTGATAACGCCTGAAATGCTAGCAGCAGGGTTCAAAAATGGCACAACTGTTTCATTATCCTGGATGAAAGAGCAGGTACCACAAGCACCTAGCAGTGGATAATCGTACGCGTTGTCGATGATATCAACCCGGGCTGTGATCTAGCAGAAAATAATGGTCACGGTTGGGTTTATGGCATCAGTTGGCGTGTCCAGGAATGGATGTGCACTTGAGGCGTCATACATGACGTGACGTGGTCGTTTTGCGTATTCCGAAGGCGTAATAGATGAGCGTCATCCAGCCGTCGTTAACTGGGTGCCGCTGAAGCTGTCACAGTGGCATGTGTACTTATGTTGCGCCTAACCTGGAACCTGAAATGTTGCATAATGTGCCCAGGTCTTTAACGCGGAAGCAGATTGGCGCACGTTTATTTAAGACGTTCTTTGGTATGTGGTATGTGACTGGACCGGAATGGACTGAGAAGTCTGAAAAGCGGATTAGCGGTCAAATTAAATCTGAAATAGCTAGACTTAACTGGACAGAACACTGAAAATTTAATGCGTGCGGTGCTCTGGTGTTCCATCGTTGCGAGACGCCAGGTTGTTAAAGAGACGCTTTATTGCGTCATTGATCTGTCTCGCCTCCGAAAGACGTCGATACTTTACAGGCAAAGCTGCAACGTAAACCTTAAATGCCTGCAAACATGCACGGACCAATTGCCTTGGGTCAAGTGCCACACCACGGCTGTCGCCGCTCGGGCACTGCCGACTGGCTCTGGATGGCAGACGACCGGGCTTCACGACCCACCACTGGCCACAAATGACATCTGACATCCACCTTCCGGCTCAACCTGCCATTACGTCCGCCATGAATGGGAGGACTGGTCCAAAGGCATACCAAGGCAAAGGTCAAACTAGCGATTGCGCGAATGGGTGGGTATGTGCAGTGTCTAAACTTGTACCTGCACAACAGCGTGCCAGACAGCCTGGAATTCCAGAGGTGCGTGGTTAGATGGGGCCCATGGACTTCGCGCAAAGAGCAGACGCACGACGCTAGTTCCTGACTCGGTAACCCTCATTAGGGAACTTTCCTACTGACATACGGACCTGCCTAGGCATAGTTTCACTTTGGCCTGCCTCCTAGCGTCCTGTTTGACCACCTGATGTGGTTATAAATGTTTTCCGTATCATTGTTGTTGAAAATTTTTGTATATTCCGCAGCATCACATCACCGCGTAACTAGGCATGGCATTCCCCCAGCCGAGCACTCTGGAAGCTACCTCCTGAACCAACGGCCCTCTGAATCCCACATGTAATGGATCCTGGCTTCCTTCTTTAAAAGGTGCTTGGCAAGATCGTTCGGTTTGTGGTTTGCATGGCGCGGCCGTATGTAATAACATTTGTGAGTGCTGTGTGGCATGCTCCTTAATGTTGTCTGCTGGGTGTTGTTTAGCATGTCTGGCCTTCTAGCTCGACGCCACAAGGTAAATGGACTTCATGTTGGGAGGGGGAGGGGGAGTTTTACCGTCTTTTACTTGCGCCGGACGGCATGCCGCCCTGTCCATCTACGTGCCCCGCCGTCTGACCTGTGAACCCCTGCGCCATGACCCGCGTCCGCCGGCTATTGACATGCGGCCGGTCGGCCGGCCCGGCGGCCAAGCTGGAGAGAGCGCCTTTTCGTTCGCCATTAGGGCTTTGCGACGCACTCAGCTGCTCCGACTTTGTGGCGTTGCCTGTCACCCCGGCAGGAAGGGCGGACACAGGTGGGAGCCGAATCCCGCACCTCTGGTTTCAAAGACGCGCGGCTTAAACACTGCGCTACCGATACCTCGTTTTTCCCCGGTGTGCCGCGGCGACCGAGCCGCGAACCTGACCCAACGCCGCGGGCACAGCGATTAATTGATGGTTAGGGGCGCATAGGGGTCGGAAATCAGTGAACACGGGTGACCCCAATTTCCAATTTTCTATCCGGAGCCACCTATGGTTAAAACGACAAAATACGAGAGGACAGGGAGCGGGGGGGGGGGGCAACCTTGGCTACGCTTGTACCCGACGTTATGCTTAATCGGCGTAAGCGTGTGACAGATCGCCGATAGATATCGATCCATTACAAGTACAGACGATATCCGTATTAAACTGTTTCTCTGATTTGATATCACGAACGAAACCCTGCGCCAATACGCTAAAACGAAATCCGATATCCCGTGCTAAAGGATAGCATGCTTTGGACCTTGCATGGATGTATAAACCAGAGGCTCTTAAGTTGTAAACTTCACGGACAAAAAAATGCGCTGTGACTGAGAGCGTTGTGATTGCTTTAGTCACGCTTACTCGGGTGAGCCATTGTTTGACTGCAAACAGAAGGCGACGAAGCCAAGTAACTTCTGGTTCATGTACTGGTTAAACATTCACATTACCCCTTTCCTTAGCATGCGACTTGCTATGCTACTCGGCCTTTGCTTCTTTCCCCAGTTTAAAATCATGCTAACATAAAGCTGTGTAATTGCCAAGGTAAAAGCACCGTATTTCCCGTTTTGCAAGCTCAAGTGCAGGAGGACGTGATCCATTTTGCATAATAGACAGGCCTTGCTGAGAATGACGGTAAAGGTAAACTTCAAATTGTGCCTCTATTTGTTGTCGCAACCGACAAGTGTCACCTCGTGAGGGTTGTAATATAGGGATCAATCACCTAAACATTGATTTGAACGTAGCTGTGCTTTCAGATTTTGCCGCGTTTGCTGGGCAAAGGTATCGTACTACGAGGAGCACAACATCCTTCCCTCAGACTACACCCGAGAGTTTCACCCCTGGACCAGCTTAGGTGAGCATGCTGAGTGCAGACACCGACAGTGAAACAGTCGGCTGTCGCTACAGCTCATGGTTGCTCTTGCCCGACGACTCGCCAAGGCATTTGGCCTGCTCAGCACTGATTTGAATTAAATGTGCGGAACGTTTTCACACGTCTTCCTTTTCGCCACTAGCTTTCTCTTCACACGCATTGATTCTTCACAGCTCTGGCCTTGTCACAAGCGCAATGGGAGCTGACTGTCATGTGGTGGTGGTGGCATTGTGGCCAACTGTTTCTCAGTCAGAGGCAAAGCGTGGAAGTTAAAATATTCTAGATGCTCAGGTCTTGGTGGAGCTGAATGGCTTGGGAAAAGATTGTTGGAAATCATCCCTTTCTGCTCGTTCTGCGAACAAGAGTTCATGAAACGATGTGGTAAGCGACCCATTTTTTTGGTGACTGTTCCAAGACCGCTTCAACAAAAGTAAGAAAAAATGAACTCTTCAAGAAAAAACGAGGCTAAAGCGACGCATTGCCCATATATAAAAAGGTAAGAAACCGGATAGATATCAACCACCATGAAGGTTCATTGCAGAGCTGTGCCACAGCACGCCTCCCAGACCAACTGCCACGTTGTTTGTGTTCCCAGACTATGCAGGGACGCTGGACGTCAAGATCTACCTCACCATCGTCAGCATCTCTATGATCGACGAGGAAAAGTCGGTGAGTGCATTGGCAAGCTGCACGAACGGAGGTTACCCAGGCGACAACCGATACAACCTATAAGTGTTCGAATCTCGATCACGGTAAACTGGAAAGTCGCCTTGTAGTGGACGGCTGCCAGCTCACGCAGATAGGGCCATGGACGGCTGCCAGCTCACGCAGATAGGGTCATGGACGGCTGCCAGCTCACGCAGATAGGGCCATGGACGGCTGCCAGCTCACGCAGATAGGGTCGTGGACGGCTGCCAGCTCACGCAGATAGGGCCATGGACGGCTGCCAGCTCACGCAGATAGGGTCATGGACGGCTGCCAGCTCACGCAGATAGGGTCGTGGACGGCTGCCAGCTCACGCAGATAGGGTCGTGGCACGCCATAAATGTTGTCTGGAAATCGATGAATTGCTTGCCGCTTTGTCCTGCTGTTTAGAAAATCTTCTTCCACGTGCCGGTTTTTAATTGATTAGGGAAGGAAGGACGACCTGTTGACGCCACTGAAGTGTCTGCTCGTCCCACGAAACGTTGTGACCATTCTTATGGACTTGGAATGCGAGATACCCTAAAAACATCAACTATTTCGTCCTTCTGAGAGTTCCATCAAGTTTTGGGAATGTGCTGCACCAGGCCTCACTTGTTCAATCCCGTTGCAGATTTATGATTGCTTACGTGATAGTTGCGCCCGTGACAGAGGACCTAGATTGCTCTAGTCCCTCTCACGAGTCAGTTTGCGCCCGTGACAGAGGACCTAGATTGTTCTAGTCCCTCTCACGAGTCAGTTTGCGCCCGTGACAGAGGACCTAGATTGTTCTAGTCCCTCTCACGAGTCAGTTTGCGCCCGTGACAGAGGACCTATATTGTTCTAGTCCCTCTCACGAGTCAGTTTGCGCCCGTGACGGAGGACCTATATTGCTCTAGTCCCTCTCACGAGTCAGTTTGCGCCCGTGACAGAGGACCTAGACTGTTCTAGTCCCTCTCACGAGTCAGTTTGCGCCCGTGACAGAGGACCTAGATTGTTCTAGTCCCTCTCACGAGTCAGTTTGCGCCCGTGACAGAGGACCTATATTGCTCTAGTCCCTCTCACGAGTCAGTTTGCGCCCGTGACAGAGGACCTATATTGCTCTAGTCCCTCTCACGAGTCAGTTTGCGCCCGTGACAGAGGACCTATATTGTTCTAATCCCTCTCACGAGTCAGGCAAAGATAGATCTTGTCGGTCTTGATGCTCTGTTGTGCAGCAACCCGCACTCACCAAAACTCCGTTGGCCTTTTTTAACGATTTCCGTTGGCCTCATGCGAAGTCTGGTTCACTGCAGTCTGACTTACGCGGTTACGGCCATCGGTCGTCTTGGCCGATTAGCTGATCGTTCGCGCCATTTTCATTCGCGCCAGCCTGCCTCGTCAAGCGCGTGAAGTTCTGCACGTGGATGAAAACGTTCTAATGGCATTCATAATTGGTCAGACGAGGTCGTTTCCTGCTTTGAGTTTCTCAAACGCAGTAGTCGTCCAGCACCGGACCCCAGACAGATCACGACCTATTGCGTGGAAGTTGGTTTTCAGAGGCGGGCTCAATGTGAGATGAAACAAGGAGCAAGTAAATATGGAAGTAAGCAAGCATTCTTGCCTCACATGATTGCAATTGTCGAGATAATAAAGGTCACCTTTTCACGAAACATCATAGCCGATATCCCATGCAGCGATAAGATAATGTGTAAGACAACGAGAGTAGGTACTTACGTATGCGTACGACATAACACATGCAGAAGGTATATCACCATCAACCATATATGATATGATTTACATTATATGAATTCATGAATTGAACATGAAAACATGAAAATCATGAATTCGCATTGCATGATATGAATTCACACATTCGCACTCTAATTCTGGTTACGCTCATATCCTGTTATATAACTCGGTTCACAACTAGTCAAGATATTACGGAGACTAGAAAAACGTGAGAAGAAACACAGATGCACGGTATGCTGTTATCTTAACCAAGACACGCATCAGAGAAAACCTGCCTTCGCCTGAAATGGTGGAAAAGTCCAATAAAATGGCAGAACCTGCCGCCACCCTACTGCCTACTGGCCACGTATCCGTTAAATACCGAGATTAACATGATATTCTGGCATTTGTCTCGGTGTTGCTATATGCGATCGGCTGCTTGTCGCCTAACGCCTGCACTCTTGCATCTCCCGTTTCAAGAGCATTTGTAGCATGTCCCACACACTGGGCTTGCCGTAAGCGCACTGTGTGCTCCTACATCCATTATCAAAGGCTTAACGGAGCAATGGGAGGAGCTGAGATGGTTGAAAAGTAGTATGATCATATTCAAATTACATACCCGTATCTCTGTCATATTTCCCTCGGTCTTTGCGTTCACTGCAGTTCGTCTTACGCGATAACAGCGATCGGCTGCTTTGGTCGGTCATCTTATCGTTCGCGCCATTTTCATTCGCGCCAACCTGCCTGTCGCTGAACGCGGGCGAACGGTCTGGCGCGTCAGTGAAAATGTTCTAGGTGTTCGGGCAGGAAAAGTTTCGCGACCATCGGAACCTTTCGGCGCCAGCCCACAGACAGAGCACAACTTGATGTGAAGGACTTGTCTTTTGCGGGGTGGTCAGCGTGAGGTCAAGCTAGGAGCAAGCAAATGTGGGAGAAAGCAGGCGTTGTTTTTTCCCCGTTTTGCACGCTATGGGTTCAGTTATTAACAAAGTGAGGAATATCGTTTCACGAAAAATAGTTGCCGATACCCCACGCAGCAATAACATAACGTTTAACCCTCCCCACGATAGGCGGCGATTATGGCACGTGGTTTGATACCAAAACGTGCTCCTGGATTTTCTGGTTGCGGAGCAGCGGCAGTTTGTAATGAGCACTCCACGGCGATCTATGGCTGGCTCGGGCGGCGGGCTGCAAGAGAATTACACCACAGAATGCACTCAGAATTGAATACGGCACCCGTCAGTTTAAGTTTCGTGTCACCGCAAGGCTTGTTCTAGTAAACATAAAGTAAACCTACAAAGTGCGGTTTTCTGGAAGATTCGACCTTTTGACTTGATACCAACATAAAACCAGTACCAATCGTGAGATCGTGTTCAGAACAATATGCTGGTCTCGGCAAGCTCTATCTTTATAAGCTTGAAACCACCGGGGGAGGGTCGCATCAACCCGCTCTCCCCCTATCAGTCCGAGTTATGCAAAACGGCGAATGAGGGCAATGACATACATACAGCGAACATAAGTACTTAAACATACGCACAACGTACACGCAGACGGGATATTAATATCAAGCACACATTTCCTGTGCATAACATTACATGAATCCAAACTTTTGCACTCCGAACTGCAGGTGCCAAAGCTCTCCCGTCATGTCACTCCGGTCATAATTAGGCTAGATATTCCGGATGTTCAGAAAATTGCACGATATGCTTTCATTTTCACCGAAACAGGCATCTAAATAACTTGTCGCCGTCAATCACGAATACGCATATGATGCATGGGAGTATTTGGCGTGGCAGTGTTTTTGAGACATAATTATTTTTGAAGGTAGATACGCATTCCCATGCCATGAGACTGTCTTTAGTGAACGATGACACACACTGAAGGTAATTTTCGATAACAAATCTGATCGACTTAACCTACAATGGCCCCTTGTTTTGGTTGATTCTGGACCACTCCTTGGCGCGATGTCTGATGTATGACTTAATCGCATGTCCATTGATTACCAAAATGCCTTGACTATATATATATATATATATATATATATATATATATATATATATATACATATATACATATATATATACATATATATACATATATATATATATATATATATACATATATATATATATATACATATAAACATACGCGAAGCAGATGGTTCTTTATACATGTTTTGTTAAACATCACAGCGGTTTTAGCGTTGGTGAACTTTTCGGATGCTTTCTGAGTAAATCTGATTACAGCTTTCGCTTCTTCTCGCTGGTCGCTGAAGATGTTACCACAGCTTATGATTCAATGATGATATAGATTGTCATATTGCATTGCATCATATAACCTATACTTCTCAACATTCCGTTCTTCGTTAGACATTTTCTGGAATGACAATTTTGAACAAATTCGATATCGTAGTACGTTTGTAAACAAGCCTCCGCATTACTGCATTCTGGGTAGCGATGCTGTACGTTTTCATGGAATTAAGTCATATGGCACCAACGCGATGACAGCGTGAAAACGCTGTTCTTTGCGGACTGGTTTTAGTATAAATATTTTCACAAGCCGAATTTGTTTCGACCTAGCGCACTCAATGAAACATTTTCAACTGGGAAATTGCGTTGGTTTGCACCAGAGCCACAAAATTATTGCTGAAATGTGCCTCCAGCCTGCCCCCGACAGACACGTGAGGTTACTCATTCACCAGTGATTTATCCTGAAGGACTTTAGCCGGCAGTGCTTAGAAACAGTCTGTGTAGAATAGTACAACATGCAACACCAACATAGGATAGAAATGAGATACGATGGGCCAGACGGGCTCTTAGCACCCTGGGACGCGCATTGAGAAGTTTGAATGCACATCCTGTAGCCTTAAGGAAAGTGTTGTCAGGGTGGATGCAGGGTTGACCTGCATTTATGGGGGTAGTGAGTGGTGAACCCCGGTGGCTTAAATACGGCGCGTGCCATTTCACTTCAAGATAGCGGAATTTTCCTGTAAAATGGGCCGATCTCTGGCAGGTTTTGCCATTTCCGCCAGCCAGAAAGTCGAAGCCCACATCTCAACTCAGAAATAGTCTGATAGAGATATTTGAGGGCGCTGGGGATATTATTCTCTGCATACCATTTTTATCTAATCCATTCAACATGACAGACCTGCATGCTGGCCAACACCTAGGAAAATCATAGCATAGCAACAGCGAAATTCTTGGCACCTGCCCTGCTCACATAACCTTATTTCCACATTTCACTTCATATAGGTACTGCAGTACGAAGATATGCGTCAG